TGAATAGTTGCAATTATTTGCGTCTTACCCGTCGTAATAATCATTTCTCCTTCTTTTCCAACTAATTTTCGCTGATTGAAGATAGTTGGCAAGAATAGCGTTGCTGCGGTTAAACCAGATTAATTGCTAAGTGACACTGACGAATCAAAGGTTATCGCCGACGACCATCAAACTAATCCCAGCGAAGCTAGTCCAGATTTTTACTCAACGTTTTTCTCTATCGCCGTTTCGTTTTAATGAAACGGAACGGAAATAATTGTTAAGATAATACCATGTTCTATTAATCCTTTCTTTTACTCTTAGGCTATTGAATAATTTCAGTCATTAAATCTTAACTAAAGGAATATTCTCCTATAACATATTTTCTTTTTTAATTAAGACATGGTGCATCTTATATACATCTAGATGAAATAATAATAGGAAAGTTTTTTCTCTCGTTCCCCCTCCCCCCTCCCCTTATATTTATTTATTGTTCATGTCTTATTTTGATGTATTTATTATTCTTGTCTTATTTGATGAATGAAACATTCATTATAAAATATGGATGACGGTTATACGTATACATTAATTTTTCATTTATAAAATTTACTTTAATTTATTTTGTTTTTTACTGGCACTTTCATTCTTGCAAAGTATATGCTTCGTATATTCTTGCATGTTCCATTCTCATTCTGTTTTCCATTTATTCGTTATTTTGCTAGTCCATTCGTTCGCCACTTACTCGCAATTACAGCCAGTCACTGAAGGATTGCAACACTTTTTTTCGATGGGTTTCAGAATACAGCTTGCTCACCGAGTGATTGATTCTTGCTTATGGATTTAATTATTTACATTCAATCGCTCTACGAGCAAGGCTGAGTTCGGAAATCCATAAAAAAAAGAGCGTTGCAATCTTTCTGTGACTGGCTGTACATTCACAGGCCCAAATATAATATAATTGTTTCGAATTCCGATGGGACTCGTAGCATGCAGCACTGCAATATTAAAATAATCGATTGTTTCGTTTTACCTCGTACATTGGCTGCGTACCAAAACGATACCCACGAGTTACATCGGCCGATTTTCCATTTAATCCTAGAAGCTGATTTAACGGGTGTACATTTGTTACGGGCATTAGGCGCGCTCATTATTTATCTCGGACCGATAAATTCCGCCACGGAAGCGGGTGTTTAATTTTACACGCGTCCGAGAGCAATAATTGGAGGATGAAAAAGCCCCTATAGACAATTATTCGCGCGTATTTATCGGAAACGGATAAGCCATCGAAAGATTCCAAAATATGAGTTTACAATGCTTTATTGATTAGGAGTAATGCCATTATCGAGAAATTAATTTTGGTTCTGCGAACGTGGCAATAGCAGAGTTACAATTTTAATTGTATTTGTACATAGCGCGAGAATCGCTCTTATAATCTAAAATATTGTTCTACATTTTTCAAGAGCTGGAATTTGTGTTTGGTTCTGTTTCTTTTAAGAATAAATGGAATTTAATTGAAATTGAACCGTGAATATAATTGCCATTGAAGGAAATTTTCACGTTTTATGAAATATGCAAGAAACGTTGATAATTAAACTTCTACAGCGTTGGAATCACTCTGTCAGTTCAAATATAATTTATAATCCTATGTCCAACATAAATTATGCTACTAAAGTAGCTCGATTACCTCGATAATTAGAACGTAATAGTATCGTAATGCGTCGGAAACGTACCTCACGATTAATTAATGCGTTATTAAATTGCAACACCGAATAATTCACGATTACGTCGCATTACAATTGTACAAACGTATGTGTATATATATATATATATATGTATGTATGTATGTATGTATGTATGCGCTGGTCATAAAAGTGTCATGTATATTAATGATTGTGTTTACCTATTATTAATAGTCATCCAATTTGAAATTGAGGACAATAATGTAGACATTAATTTATCTTTCCAAGAAACGTAGTTTCTAAATTAGTGTTTCCGCGCTTACTTTTGTACAATTATTAATAAATTATTTTCATCACTTTTCGCGCAGAATCACCAAGTAAAATCGTTATAGTCGTTCTTTTATCATTTTTTTTCTATCCTAAACTCTTTAGCCATGCGAATCGACTTCCGCGTAAAATATATAAAAATTAGTAATCGTAAATATATTTATAATATTGTCATGATCACACATACATAAGATCATCATGAACGAAGCGGCTCATGAATTCCTCTTTTTAGAAGCGATTTGGGATTTGGGAAACAAATAGGGATTTAAAGTTCACACGTTCAGATGCTCTTATTCGAAATTTCTATTTGACATTTTTTTCTAAATTTTCTTTCGTTGGTGAACGGTAACATCCGATTGGCGACACATCGAGCGCTGCTTGTGCACCGCAGGGATTTCCCTTGAAAATTACAACGTGAATAATTTGTCGCAATATGCAACGTTTGTTGCGCCAACTCTGAAATATTTCTGTCTGGATGCATTTTGATTCGCCCGCCTTTTAAAAACGTCCCCAAAGATTCTAATCTGTCAACTTTAACTTTTGCTTAAGTTACGATTGTACGAAGCAGTAGATATTCGTATTTCGAGGGAGGAAATCATTTCTGTTTGGAATTATACAAGCTGGAATTATTCAATAATATACATATTTCACAAATTGAGGGTTGTATTATATATACATGTATATATTACGGTTATACTTTGAAATATTCATTAAATACAAATTGAGGGAAATTAGATTATTGCTTATAATAGAATATTATATTCACTAGAAACCTGTGAAGTTTAATGTTAATTAATTCTGCAATATATACTTAAGAGAGAATTTGCCTTTCAATTAATATAAAATATAATAATTAAATTATGTGTGCGAATTAGGACATCAGAACGATGGTTTAATTAAGTAATAGGTATCTATAATGTCAACATAATTATATATTAAGAAATATTTCGAAATGATTTCGAGCTATGGCTAGCTGTGCGCTGAGTGGCGGAAAAATACGTGAAAACTTGCCAAGTAGAAACAATTATTTTTCTGCAGACGCCAGGGAACCTGCCCACTCGGGTATTCTGTCAGAGTTAACTGATAAAATTTCTTTCTACCTATTTTCTGAGCGCCAGCTATACTTCTTTGAGTAGCAATCTGTAAGTAACGAGTCGGCCATATGCGATGGTTTCCTGTCGTCATTTCAGTGAAATCAGCGGTTGAAATAGTACGATTTTACTCTTGCGAACAGTGAAAAATGATAAGAAATTGTCAAAGCATTTGATGTCGAGCAATAAAAGAGCTACGAAAGATGGTGTTACCCATTTAAACTTTCACCGAGGAAATGCTCCCTTTGAATGCGTCAAGGAATTCATAGATTAACGAAAGAGTATACAGCTTGCTTATACATATATCCTCCTTCTCAAATCGCTCGTTTCTTCTCAAGGATACTGAAATTGTTCGCAAGAGAAAAACTTCCATTTCAACTTTCGTTAAAGCACGCCGAACTTTTGTCTGGAAACATTGTCGGTAAAGGAGGTGCGATTCGCCAGACGATAGCATTTAACTTTTCGCCGTGTGAAAGGTATGCTTTCATATACATTGTTGTACATGCGCTCTGATTGATGCATGTACGAGGGGCTGGAATGCCGGAAGTTGAGCTGGACGTTGGTGTCCTACCGGAAATGTCGTCTCTTGCTCCACTGTCCAGTTCACGACCGGAATCGAGCCTTGAATGTTAGCTCTTCCTGCGCGAATTTATCATTCTGAATCCCTGAAGACCAGAGAGGATTTCCCGTCGTACCCTTTCGACTCACGATAATGCGAATCGCCGTGTAGCCTCGAGCGAATGGATTAAGTTAGTTTGCACGATCCGGTTTTTCACATGAATCACAAAGAAAATCGACAGATCGAAGATATATATACAAGTGATTTGTTTGAAAAAGTTAAGAATATCTACAAATGTCAACATGAACTGAAACAAATAGAGTAACTCCGGTATGGTATACACCTAACAAAAACTTAATTTATTTGTTATGTATTATTTAACCCGAGTTTACAACACTTCAGTCACGGTTATACTATTATTACACTAGTGCGAATTTGGCTTTTCCATTTTTCATCACGTAACTTTGAAATGAAAAAAGCAAAAGTAGTTTAATTATATAGTTTTTTTTCAGAATAAAATTTTCGTGGAAACCCATTGGTAATCATAAAATTAAGCAAGGATAATATTTTATTGCAAGAAATTGTTAATTAAGAAAATAATAAATTGAAAACTTTTTTTCAAAAATTGCTGGTGCGCGAATTCGCATTAGAGTGTAACTGAGAGTTAATAGTAAATGAATTATATCAGTAAAAACTTTGTACTATCTATTACTATGAAGAAAATGTTAGAAATCCGACGTTATTTTTCATATTAAAAAATGAACTTTTTAAAATCCTTGTATTTTTTCTGTATATCCCATAAAGTTGAGATATACGGCTGCTCATGAGGAGGGGGAGGGGTGGGATATACAGCTTATGAAAAATTTACAAATGTGTATTAAATGTGAGATTCAAATTTAGTTTATTATTTACTAAATGCATACATCAATATAGACGTTGCTTACTTTGAAACTAACCACAGAAATGAATTAATTTGCATTTTGAGGTACATGAAAATTAAAAATAACAAAATAATAATTAATTCAAGGGATTGAATTACCATTTCTTTTTTAATATCTAACAATGTGTAACATTAAATCCTCATTATAATGGCATGCTGACTTGACTATTTAATATCAACTATTTAATATTGTTATATTCTTTGTTATTATATTCTTACATCAAGTATAGATATTTAAACTTCTTAATTAATCTATAATTAATTGTATAAAATACAATAAAAATTATTAAAAAATGATTTAAAAAAGGAATATTCATTATGTATCAGATATTATTCCTTCTCTAAATTAAAGAAAGAAAAATATTTGGAAATAGTATTGCACCACTGACGTAAAAAAGATTAGGAACGTTTCAGATAATGCAACATTACTCGATGGATTGGAAATCGGAAATCCATGGATAAACTCTAACGCGAGTGGCTTCGATCTCTTCCATAGCCACGCCAGGTTTTGTCTTTTTTTCAATCGATTTCGGCGGAAGACCTTCGAAAAGTATCTGCAGATCTTCCGCAAGCGAGGGTGGTTCCCAGGGAACGCAAGGATCTGTCATGACGACCGTACGACACACCTTCCTTGCCTTTCGTGCAGTAAGGATCCTCTTCGTCGTACTCATGACCTCCTTGGCAAAATCTTCCTTACCCCTTCCCGATCCTCTTGGGGTGTCTCGAGATTTTTCCGCTACTGCAGCACTGTATGGAATATCATCGCTGAATTATCGATAGCCAAATATTGGATGGTGAAAAATTCAATTTTTGAGTCTGCAGATTATTGAAATGATAGAAGCTCGATGAAGATATTCTATTCTTACAGAGATATCTTTGCTCCTAAATGTAAATATTGCCTCTGTCTTTTACGATTCATTGTCCAATATTAGTAACAAATATTCGGAATAATCAATGAATTTAAATTAAAAAATTGCTTCTAAATAAAGCGAAAGATAAAGAAAATTAAAAAGCTTCTGGAATAAATAGTTCGACGAAGATGAAATTTTCTGAAAATAAAATTCTAAAGATAAATCAGTTGAAGTCCAATTCCGAAAAACCTAAAACCGGAACTAACCTGCTTTTCAAAGCTTTCTTGGTGAGCTTCCTTGCCATGTTGGCTTCTTGGATCTCCTTTTTAGCTTTCTTCACATCTTCCGTCATGTCGGCGAATTCCTCAAGCGGTACTATCATCTTTTGAAGGAAACGAATTTTTTCTTCTGTACTGTACTTTCTAGTCGGCTCTCTACGCTTATGAACGCGCAGGAATTTCGTCCAGCATTCTCTTTTCTTCCGTCTCATTTTGTCCTTGATTGACGATTTCGCTCTGATGTCATCCTTCGATCTCATTCTCTTGTCGACCTCGCCCCATTTCTCATGATCTTTGACTGTTCGATCTGTAAACCTAAGGTCGACAATTCAATATATCCTTTTCTTGTGGATTTTAGAGTCAAGAAAGAAAGATGATAGTTGGATCAGAATAAGTTAAAGCGAAAATCATTCAAATTCTAGTGACGTTAGGAAATCTCAAAAGTTACTAAGATTCTATCAATCTTAACAAAATCGAGATTCACAAATTTTTCTTATATATTAACTTTTTTTATTAGAATATAATACGGGATGTATAATGTAACGTAATAAAATAAAAAAAGTACTTTGCACGTTATAAAATGAATTTAAAATTAATAAAAAATTTATATAATACATACAATGTCTATTATAAATATAGAATTAATATATTGACATAATTGTTAAATATTAATTAATTTTAGATTAATTATGAAGCATCATAATATACAAACAAGTTAAAAAAAGAGAAGTGAGATATTTTTATATATATTACATAAAGTGTAAAGTCAATCAACATGTTGAAAACATCCGTCGAAAATTTTCTTTATTAATAATACTTTTATACAATAGAAAATATTCTTCCAATTAAAAAATAAGGAAAACTTATATCCATCTTATTAAATTGCACGTCATACCTAGTTTTTCTAAATGCAATCTTGCGGCAGCAAATGTCAGGTTTGCAAACAACTTTACATGGCTTCGCCAACCTGAAAATGACGGGTTTCGGTCGTTTTTTCCGCACCTTCTTTCTGCGCTTTCTCTTGCTAATTTCCTGCATAGGAGATTCTACAATCGCTTTCACCAACGAAGGCAAGGGCTCTTCCGCCAACAAAGGCAAGGGCTCTTCCGCCATTGCTTTCTCCTGTTCAACGTCTTGCGCTATTTCCGCCTTAGAAATTTCGATGGTCTCGGTTTTCTTTGGATATTTTTCTCGCTCTTTGAATAATATTTTCTTGGGTGATATTTTCGTCTCGAGTCCTGTTGCTTCATCTATCGGCAAATGCGAATTCTTTTCGATTTTCCGATTGGTGACTCTTTTTATGATACGACTCACTTTCGAAGGTAAAATATCTAAATCCTCAATATCTTCATATTTTTGTTTTTCCTATGAGACGCAGAAATATGGTATAAATTAAATCAACAGTAAAATAAATACAATTGTTTATTTGTTTATCTGTGTGGGTTCAATTATTTCAACGGCATTAGATGCGGTTGTATAGGATGTATGTATATTTAAAATTTGTTGTGTCTTGGATATTGTAATTGCAAGTAATTTTTGTTATACATAAAAGTACCGTTATTAAATTTATACCTAAAACAGTTAAAATTTAAAAATGGAGGTACGTATATAACGTAAGTATATGATATCGCTGCACTTATCTTAACGCCGAGATACCATCGCGTCTCCTAATTAAAGTTTCAAACAATAACAAATTATAAGTGATCGCTTGGATACAATCTTTTTAATAATGATATTTAAATTTGAGATAAAGAATTGTAACAATGAGAAATAGAAGATAATAGCAATGGATGAAAACACGGTGATAACCTGCAAACCTTCTGGTAACTTTGAAGATAATATCCGTGAAAGCCTAAAAAGCGCGCGAGTTATCAGATAATAAAATTTTTCAAAAATAATAATGATCGATTTAATAAATATTAAGTCAGTCATTTCTAGTTTGATATAAAATTATTAATAGTTATATATAATTTCGAAAATGTTATGAATTTACATCTAACAGCTATATTAAATTTTGTCGAGCATAATTATTATTTAGCGACATTTTGCGCGACAGTGCATGGGCGATAAATCACACCGAAGAGTAAAAGGTCGCAGTCGAATGAAAGATAGATGAAATATTACAAAAGTTCTCTAATATATTGCGGTTAGCTGACCGCGAGTGTGATATATTAGAAATTTTATTAAACCCTGAAAATAAAAGGGAGAAGAATATAGTGTGAAATTAAATATATTCAAACGACACACAACTTTTTATGCTAAATTTAAATTTATAACACAAAGTACAATATCTTTATGGAAATTTAACAGAACTTTTTTAATTTTTTACTGTTATTCAAAAGTTATTAAACTCTATTTCTGGTTGATTCGAAATTTTAATTTGAAATATATTTTGATCAAAAAATGATATTTATTATTAGATATATGATATTTTAAGTATTATCGAATGTTTATTTTGATATTACCTTTTTTACAATCTCAAGAAATTTGTCCTCCACTTCTTGAAGCTCGGGAAACTCATCTTTAGGCTTTCTCTTGGATATAATTCTAGTTCTCTCTCGTGGTTCTTTTAACTTTTCTTTTTCAACCTTTCGTTTATTACGATCGTTTATTAATCGTTTATCCTTCTTTTTTTCTCTCGGATCCATCAACGCAAGCTCTGACGTTTCCTCTATGGCGGTTCTCGCTAATTTGATTTCTTTCATACGCGTGTCTATTGCTTTTACAAAACGAGAACACCTCTCCAAATACTGGCGTCAGATAAATGCAATGAATGTCACGTTCATTTTATTTCTCTCTTTAACTAATTGTGTTTTTATTAAATTTAATTTATAGTATGATGAAATGAAATTTATAATATAATGAATTTTAAATAATTACATATAAATAAAGGATTAATTTGGTTACTATTGGTTATTTTTGTCGAATAAAGAATGTTATCAGATATCGTTATATCTGATAATATTATTTCAGAGATTTTTTAACTTCTGTCTGTTGCACGCTGCTAATAAATTTTATGTGCAATTTTATAAAAAGACAAATTGCCGATACTCACCGACGTAAAATCGTTCCTGTCATTTTTATCAAACGAATATAGCGCTTCCGTCGACTCGATGAGATAAACATTGCCAGCAGAGTTTCCGACGGCCAGTAAAGACCCCATCTCGTGTGACGCAACCGCAGTTAATTTTTGCTCGCATAGTTTTACTGACAAGATTGGTTCTTGTAGTCCTATTAGAAGATCCCATACAGCCAGCACGCCGACACGCGTCGCTACGTAAAATATAGAGTGTCTTGTTTTGTTCCAGCAGCCACATTGTGGGCCTTCTATTATAAATCTAAAGATTCAGATAATTATATAAAGATCTTAGATTTTATCGCATTATGTTCGATTATGTTTTATCCTAGACAAAACAATTGTAATAGATGACAAATAAGTGTAATAGGTGATTTCATTTCTATTGCCACAAGAATTGATTCTACATTTTAGGATATAAAAAAATTATTCGCCTATTTATGATTATTTCAGTACACTGAGAAAAAATGTATTAGATTTTAATAAATATTTATTCAAATAGTGTCAGTTGAATATTTATTAAATGTAAACATATATTTATTTGGTACAAGAACTATTAATTTGATTTACCTATTATTATAATTTATTTAACAAATATTTATCCGCAAATAAATGTTGTATTAGTAAAATTCAAATAATTATTTATTAAAATTTAGTACATTTTTCTCTTAGTGTACTAAAATAATCATAAATGGGCAAATAATTTGTTAAATGTTAAATAATTTCATATGAATGTTTTAATATTAAATATCAATTATCTTACAATTAGATGTAATGTCTTAAACATCTGTATCAATAATTATTTATCATAACAAGCGACTTATATTTCGCTAATAAAATGAATCATGTAATGATAAATAATATATTTTCAAAGTTTGTGATTTATGGTTTTGGTTGAATAATTAATAATTTTTAATCTTTGAAAATATATGTATATAGCATTGAATTATTAAATGGAAACATATATTTTTTTATTATAAACATTTTTGGAGTCATTAAATATTAAATACTGAGGTTATCACATTTTGCTAATTATTTATTGTTATTATTTCTTGTTGGTACTTTTGCAAACATTTTTTTGAATGTTCGTTTTAAATGGAAGAAAAAAAATACCTCGTCGATACAAGACTACTGTCCTTAGTGTCTTCCGCCCAAACGCGAACTGTGCAATCGCCTACAGTTAGAAAGATTTTCGGATTGAAGCCACTGCGATCGACGGAAAAAACCGGGCCGTAATGAGCGTTGAACCTCAAGGCCATTTTCTCGGCCGGTGTTCTCGATTTTTTCGACCCACTGATCACGATGCCGTTTTCCAAACCAAACATGAACTTCGTGCCCACGCAGGGTTCGTAGTCGCTTGATGAAACTCCAATTGCCCGATCTATCTTCTGCTCATTTGGCGTCTGAAGATCGAACACGAGAACTTCGGTTGGTTCACGCAACTTCCTGGTGTCCCACCACATAGCACGGCCGTCCGAAGAACCCGAGAAAAACTCCGTATTACTCTTCGTGGCAATCCACTTTACTGCTGTCACGCAATCCCTTCATGCAAAAGTACAGGATTCTTATACACGTTATTTAAAAAGTATGATATATTAATATTTCACAAAGGAAATTTGATTATATCTCTTTATTAATTTAATTATATTCTTTTATATCATATAATTATTTCAAGGAAAAAGCAAATATCTTTCTCATATATATAATGTCGTTGCATTTTCCACAGATAAAACGAAATAGAAAAAAAGATGATTGGAGTTTCCGTTGCAAGCGTGATATTAAAAGAAAAATCACGTACGACGTGACAAATGTCACTTAAAAAATGTAACGAAACTTAATTGAGAGTGGAAACGCGACAAAAACAACATTTTAATCATTCATCATTTTGTCGTGCGAGCGCGAAATACCCTTTAGACCGACCAAGACCGGGGCACTTTGGTACTGAATTATGAAATCCAAAGTTCCGACGTCGCACCCAGGCATGTTCACGTCTAGATTACCTATGACTGAATTGACGATGAGACATTTGAACCGGAGTGCTGCCAGTCCTGACGTCCCAGCTGCAAACTTGGCCCGACACCAAGCCGCTAGCAAGTATGGAAGGATCTCGGGGATTAAACTCGCTGACCACCGTGGCAGATGGAGCCTCCAATGCGATCCATGGCTTATTTGGATTGTCTACCATATGTTTTTCGAATATTTAGATCCAGTTTCGCGACATTTCGGTCGACGATCGTACAAACAAATGGAAAAATATAGCGTTATTTTTAAAAGATTAAAAAGTTACGCTTGTGAAATCCGATTTTAAGCCATTAGAGCCGTATCGTTAAAAAATACATACGTTGAATAAAGTGTAGCTACATTCCATTTCCGATACGCGAGAAATGCAATATCGTTGGATTTTCATGCCCGATTTACTCGTGCGTATTGTTTAGCTAGTGTTTCACCGATCGTTATAGTAAGATGATTGTAATTGCTGGCGTAAAAACATTGCGTTTTTCTTGTTCAATGAATCAGCAGCAATGTATTGTTGCTTGATTGATCAACATTTTATCAAGTGTCGAAAACGTGGTATAAAGAGAATTGGCATATTCGATCGCTAAAACTGCATTTCACGTATAACTTTTTAATCTAACTTTGCGTCGAGATGAGAAGGAAACGTCTGTTTCTCATAAAAGAGCTATGATATATCAGCAATTTCTATTGTAATAAATTTAATAATATATACTATATACATTTAATTTATTTTTATCATAATGGAATTATATCGACAGGTATTTTCCATGTATTTTTTGTTGTAAAATTTACATTATTTAGCGCGATAAAAATTTGAGGCTATGTTTTGTTGGATGGTTGTCGAAAAGAAGCTCTTAATGTACAAAAAACCGCATGAATTTTCGTGAAATGAGATTGTTATTTATCGAAGAAATTTGCATGCAGTAAAAAAATGGCCGTTACGCTGATGCAGGTTAAGGGCGGGAACTTATTGCGGACGTTGTGCAACCGTAATCAAGTGCGCCGTCTAAATGCAGTCAAGGCTTTTACGCGCTTTTTCCACCTACCAATTTGCCAGATGTACGCAATGTTGCTGTAATCTGGCTCGATTCCAAAGAAACAGTACGAGACCACCATTTTACTGCCAGAGTCTGGCGACCAAGAAATATTGTTCACCGATCTCACCGGCGTTTGAGGATCCTCGTAGACGTTCACTGTCCTGAAATAGAATTCCAGACTGCTATTGACTTTGTTACAGTATAAAAGAATATCTTTTAATATAATAACGTGATAATAATACCATTAAAATAATATCTATATAAAATGTGTCTGACATAAAAATATAGGATTTTAGTATTTTGAAAAATAATATGAATTCCTCATTCTGCAAGTGGATGATGAACTTTGTAATATATATAAATCCTTTTGGTGTTAATATATTGTATTTGATAAATGTATTACCGCGATAACCTAGTTTACATCGTGGAAATTCTCTGTATTATTTCCATCTCCGTTTTTATCGTACATGTCCAATTTCTATCTATTAATTTTAATATTAAATTTGATACGTATTATTTTACCTTACATTTACATTTATCTTATTAAAAAATTCACTTTTAAAAGAAGAAAAAATAAACTATTATTTCCGCGATATTTTTTTCAAAGTAATTAAATTATTAAATAGTATAAAGCCGTCTACAGTTTCCGCGTGCAGAAATCGTTAGTTTAAAACAGAGAAAAGCAAATTTAGCGGTAGGATGCATAATTCATTCGCGTCCACTACGACTCCGGAATCCTGACATATGTTCGGATACCTTCGGGCTCGGCCCGGGTTTAAATTTTAAATCTTTTGATGGTCGAACCAACGTAGTCGTTCTTGTCCTCCACGAATATATACATTTTAAAATTGTCCATCTGAAATCGCACGAAGTTCTGTGCTTGGTATCGATGTATCGTGTGATACGTGTGACAATGGAAACTGATCTATTCAGATCTCTTTAACTCATTGAATTGTTTATGATTACGGCCACATTTTTCAATACTTTCAATAAATATTTTATACATTTTACTACATTATTTTGTTTCCCATTAACAATATCAATATGTGTTTGAAGTATGGATGAATTACAATTTATTTATAAGCTTTGTACATAAAGTATAAATTAATTATGACAAAATTAAATTTTTACCTGAGACCACGAGGTTTCACTAATTCTGTAGGAATCATATCGTCGAAATAGTGTTCGTATATATTAAGTGCGCCATTTTGAAGGACATTGCGCTCCATTTTCTATGAGGAAAAAAAACAATGTAATTTTTATATTTTCTGTAATAAGATGTAGTATATCAATATCTAGAATCATACAATTATAATCTAAAAATTAATTATTAATTCTTAATTAATTTTTAAGATTAATATTCCTTTAGAATTTTTATTAAATAAATTTTATCTTAATAATACACAAACATTTTTAATAATTCGTTTAATATACTTGAAATAAATTCAATAATTTCGGCGCCCAATCTTCCTCCTTCTCGACTCGTCTGCGAAACCTTGCTGTAACTTCCTCGTCTTTCGGATTGATTTCCTTCGGCCAACCACCCTCGAAGTGAAACATTCCACTACTCTTCGTCTGGCTGCCGACAGTTTGGGCCTGGAATTCCATAGGAATGATTGCTAGGATGGTAATGTGAAATTCCATGGACTTGAGCGCTGGATTGCGTATGTTCTGACAACTCTATTTCCAGTTGTTCCTCTCTCATTTCTTAACACAATAAAATAAAATTAATGATAAAATAAACGCGAAAATTTATGATTATTTGGAATGGTTTTTTATATCTTATATTCCTAGTAGCAATTTCATTAATTAATTTCTTCCAACAATAAACATATGGCAATAAGCTTTTGAGATATTCTGTACACAAACGTAGAACTCATATTAAAATTATGAGTCATGAAATTGTTGTTGTTCTCAAAATAATGTCGAATGTCTGCTTTAAGTTATCTCATTATAAAACAAAACGTGGTGGTCGTGCAAAATTCGTATGATGTACCGTCTTTCCATGTTGCAGTTTCGTAGAAAGTTACATATTTGTGGCATCAGGTAGCGAACTCTACGAGATGCGCGGATGCTGCGCCGTCAGACGCGTCAGTCTGACGCCAATTTTACCGCAAGTTACGTCTAGTTTCGTTAAAGTAAAGCGAGGCTGATTTTTGAATATATTAGTAGAGTTTTTGAACTAGAGTTAGAAAGGTTACTGCAAGTTGGGCCGTAGTTCGTTCTCCTTTACATCTGATCCGACATTGTGACGCTAAAGTCATTATTATGACAGAAATCTTGAGTATATAATCTTACAAGTTAAATTAACAATGTAAGAACTAACAGCCAAATTTTTCTTACAAATTTAATGAGTTTTAATGATATTATCAAATAATTAGTGTTGAATTTATTAAAGTATCAATAATTAACCTCGTGTAAGGCAAACTGTTTGGTGTGCTGCACGCCGACGTTGGAGTGAGATCTAATAATGTAATGGGCCATAGCGTCGGGATCTGGCTTGATCTCTTCGTCCAAGTGCGGACCACATATGTCGAAAATGCATTGTTTACCAAATTCGGCGCGCGTTTTTAGAAAAACCTGCTTGATCTCCATTGTACCGTATTCAGTATAAATAGATGATTCCCACTCGCACGTGTGAAGCTTTCCAAGTCAATATCTAAAATATGAGGAATTGGAGAATCATTCGAAAATGTCACGCGTGTATTCCCAGTTTCCCACATGTGTTCTGCCGTGTGAAATTGCGCATGATCGGTTTTTCTTCTCATCGCAATGCGATATTTATCGTTTTTTTTCTCTCCATACAACATTTTTTTATTTTGCTTGAGAAAGGAAAAGAAATTTTGTTGTTCAAAAAATTTAGCTAGATACCTACAATTCTGAAAATAATTTTGTTGAACTTAAGTGATAACAAAAAGTTTAACATTCTAGCCATCAGTTTAAACATCCTATACTATATAATTATTTTAATCATTCAAAATACGAAATTATCTTCATATCTGTATAATCTAACTAAATTTTTAGATATTTCAGCAAAATCGTTCTTTTTGTGTAACAGTATAATTTTTTAAGGAAACTATAATAAATAAAACAAAATTTCTCGGAAATAATGACTCATTTAATTTTGACAAAATTCAAACTTCGGTATCGCCAAAATATTGTTTGTTAATTATAATTTTACAGATTCAATTAAATTTTGCGTTTCCAAAAAAATTAATTTTCCAAGCTATGATATTTCTCATCCCAAGAAACAATACATTTTTTACAAATATATTTTTGAACGTATTCTCCGTTATAAATATATTCTTTTTTTCGAAATTAGGAGAAGTTTAAAATTGTATTTAAAATTGTATTTTAAAATTGTATTTTAAATTTTAAAAAACACGGATTTAGAAACCAAATAAAAAATTAAAGATTTTTAGATGTTTGCACATTTTCATTGATCCGTTATCAAATGTATTTGATTTAATTAATATGAATCTCTCGTTTTTTCGATCAAACTGATTGAACGGACGAAAAACACTAGTCGAAGATTGTTATCAAGATTTTTGCTCTTCTTACATTACTACTTGGTTCATCGAGAATCGCTGATGTAACTACTTCATCTTAACGATGCGATCGTTCCTTACTCTCTGATGTGCGTCTAGCATCATGCTTGTCACGTCTACTACGTGAAAGATTGCTCGCGTGATCAAAAAATTTAATAAGTTCCGCACAAAAGTTGTTGTTCTTAAGATAAACTTTCTAAATTTTCTTAAATTTTCTTTAAATACAATATAATGAGATTTTTATTAGTGCTAATTTTTTTTTATGCAAAATTGTTTAAATAAAAAAATTTTATCTTTTTTCTTAGCATTTTAAATTGACGTCTCAAAATTTATCGTTATTTCTTTAGCTCAACGCGACTTGAACTATTTATTTTTAATATTGATCGAAAACTATTATATAAAATTATTATATAAAAATAAAGCCAGAATTCTGTAAAACTAAGCGATCGATGAAATTGCAGCAACTTCATATAGTGCAATTACAATTATTGATCGTGTGTATATTGATATCAATATTATATCTACACGATATGAGTATTATTTACACGATATGCATCAATAATATTGATCGTATATAGACACAGCTTTAACAGTTTATGAGTTTCTACAAAATGATATACATTACCTTAACATACGTGAAAATATGAGCGTACAGGTTTAAGCGTTAATCGGTTTACTGAACATTTTTTTTAATTGAAATAAAAAACATTGAACATCTGCTGTATGTAACATGTATACTGATATTTTTTTATTAACGAAAATATAATATTACAGTGATTTATATACATTTTTTATCACATACGGTGCTGCGTATAGCATTCAAGTTGCTATCAATTGGATAATATTAATTATATAAATTAGCATATTAAAATCTAATAGAAAATAAGTCAGCTCTCTAAATTCTTTGGTATAAAATTTCACTCTAAATAGTGAAAATTGCGAATTTTGAAAAAGAATAGCTCGATTTTCAATCTTTAAGAAGAGATTTCACTCCTCAAAGTGAGATTTGCTTTAAAAGTTTAAGAGAGAAATAAGAATTAAGATTAAGATATTAAGAATATTAAGATGTGCGATTAATCAACAAAAAAAACATTTTTCCTTGGTAGTTCAAAAAAAGTGCAAGAAATGAATTTTCGGAGTTATTATTTAATTTTAACGTCAACTGTGTGAAGTAATTCACATGAAATTTCAGTTTCGTTATTCGAGTTCTTCAAGATTACAATAAATTAAACATAATGAATATGTCTAATGAAGTCTCGAGGTGTATCCATTCGACTTGTACTATATTTCAAAAGAGGTGTTTAGCTGAGTTTCTTCGTGACCATAAATATGCACAACATAGTTACACTATCGCGATAGGTCGTTTAGCATTTGAAAGGATCTGTTGTTTTCCCGATGATCCTCTCCAACTAGCTTTCTCTCCTCTATACATCGTAATTTCCGATCTCAGTTCGTAGGGCTCAATGAACTACGATGCCCTCATCAGCTAATGGCCGCGGTATCCGTTTGTTAGCTTCCGCACCAACCACGTTCGATCAACAATCATCAACGGAGGCGAAGATTCGTATTGTTTTCGGATTCATGCATCACATCGCTAACGTTGCTACAATCTATAGAACTAACACATACATACGATCGTTAAAAGTTGTGTATATCTTCCGCGCGTAACACCTGTACCTTTGTGAAATAATCGAGTTTCAGCGAGATGACACATACGGCGTATCAAGTATTTCAAGAAAGAGACAAATTATTTGTTATCAAATTAGTATTTATTAAAAGCATCCAAAAGAATTTTAAGGTAAATTGTTTTATCAATACAGATATATAACAAAAGTGTATATTTATATTTATATAAATTGTACAAAAATGTGTATATGTCTATATTTACAATTCTCAAAATTTCTACAGTTTGTTTTATTATTGCTACATTTTACAACGATTTCGCAAATCGAGTATAGTTTCAACAGGAATTATCCCGAAATGGAGTGGCGAGTTGCAACACGAAAGACTCGATAGTTACGGTACGTTTCTCGAGTGTCTATCGATTTGCTAATCCGCGCTACACCTGTAGTTTTCCAGCAGGATTTACCGAGCAAATAAAGAACCTAAACGAGACCGGCCAACCGATTGCGAAACTAGGCTATTTGTAGAACTCTTTGTTGTCAACACTTTTTATCTCTTAAAGTCTGCACGTGCATAATGAGCCGTGGTTTATTATCAGAAGCCATTTTCTCTTCAATCAGAAGCAAAAGTTTTGTGCTGATAAGCAGAAGATGAAAAGAACGTATTGTCCAGTGCATAAAAAGTCGAAAATCTCTTTCCGTTTTAGACCGTATATTATCCTCCAACTCCAAATAAGGTTCTTATGGCTATGGCTGCTTATTGAATTTCTATATACGTTTATAACAAAAGTATTGTCGTCATCAAAACATTTTCCGGTTGAGTGTACGTCTCTGCTGAAATTCACGAGTCGAACTACTCTATACGCGAACCCTTTCAATCAGGTCGCGCGGCTTTTCCGTACGAGAACGCAAGTTTTCCGTAAGACACGAGTGGCGGGGAATAGTCTCATGATTCTTCCATGAGCGCGGTACGCCATCCATTTGCTTCGGCTCCACTCAACTTTCCATCCTTAACTCTTCACTCCGAACTTTCCTCCCTTGTGTCGGGCAGAGAGCTGAACCTTGCAATTCGCCAATTTCGTGCGAAATGCATATTCGAGATTTCGCTTGTCCTCCACGTGGAAAACCTTCCATACTCTCTCGCGATCTCGGCACTGATTAATTGATCTCCTGATTGGCACATTTCTTCTTGAAGCGTTTCTAGAAAGCTTCAAGAAAAGCTTTCGTCGAAATTTTACGATCGCTCTTTGATTTGTATTTATGGTGTGCAGTTTCATTTCATTTAGCAATGGAATGTTATTTTATTGCGTTTAATTGGAAATTCTTTATATTTCTATAGATAGTGTCAATTAACAAAATTGGCATTCGAATCGAGTTGTGCATTGTTCCATGCATAACATTTCGGCAAGATCCAAGTAGATACATTTTTTAGATAGATGTACGATTAATGAAGATTTAATCGATGTACTCCGCTACAAAAAGTGGAGATAAAAAAAATATTCGTTTTTATCCGCTCAAAGTCTTGTATATATCGCGAAGTGAAAATTCGACCCTGCAGCCAGTACGCCAGAACGATTTCCATAATTTAATTTATATTGGCTTAATCCGCCCGCGTTTCAGATGCGCTGCAAACTTTTACGGAACGCTTGTCGCGGATTAAGCAACGAACGTACCCGCTTGAATTTTTAAACTCCATCCCTCTGTTTTAGGAAACTTTTTTTTTTGCCATGACCCCTCGAGAACACGCTAGTCTTATTTCCAATTCAGCGAGATTCATCTCGAAGTCTTCGCGAATCGCACAACCGTAATTTCGATATAATACCTCTATCCTGCACACCTGCGCTTTCGTCCTTCGAGATGTGCCGCGCGATCGATTAATCGGGCGGAAACTTTAATGGCCCCTTTGATCCTCACGGTAATTTCGGCAATTTACCATCTTAAGTTCGGCCTCTCTGAGCCTCGTTGCTACCGCTTCAGTTCTACAGAATCGTTCGAACAGAATTTCGACCGGAGGTGGAAAGTCTCTCGTATAATATTCATCGTTTGCGATGGTGTGGAATCATTAGCGCGTCATTACGAAGCGCTCGACTTTTTCATTTGCACTTTTTTATTTTATTTTTCAAACTTCCAGCTCCCAGTTAAATTTTCAATCTCACACTTTTTCGTTCGTATATATATACGTGAGTATACCTTGCATCACTCGTCCGTTCTATTTGATCCGTTTCTCTCTATGCGAAGCACCACGTTGAAAGTCTTGCGATTCTATTCAAATATGAAGTACCCACTACCAACTTCTTTTTCATGAACTTCTTGGAGATCATGCTCCGTCTTTCCATACAGCCACGACAAAATAGACAACTTCGTAATTTCTCTTACTCAAGCTTTCGAGATATCTCGAGAAACACTTAAACTGAGTTATTGCTTTGCAAGTATACTTTGAAAGCAATTTTCTGAATTTTTCTGAAATTTCAAGACACGTACCTGTTTATTACAGCTCGACAATCAGTTCACTAGTACGGTTCTCGCATTGTGAAATA